TAACACACAGACAGACACTTATTCTGTTTTCCAATGTCGTAAAAAAAATTCATTTATCGACTGTCTTATACAACATATTCACTGGGAACAGTGAAACAAATCTACAGTTCACCGAACTTGAAAGTTATTGATCATGTAAATGAAATACTAAAAATAATATTTCATAGCAAAGATGGACAGTAGCTAGCAGTGGGATCCAGGATGCAAGTTTCGTCCTATGCACATATGCCAACATGAGACTGATCAATCGCAGTCCTAAATAACAATGGGAAAATACAAGTAAAACAAAACCAAGTTAATTTAAACTTCACCCGATTGCACAAGCAGGTGGCTATTAGGACTCAGTAGCTAAGTGGATAACAAGATGACGTTTGAAGCGAGTGGTACTGGGTTCATGTCCTGGAGTAAGCATCAACTGTGGGAGCCAGGTACATCCAGCTGATGAGTCCTAGATAGAACGAACCACACCTCCTGGATTCTACTGCTAGCCACTATCCATCTTTGCTTAAAAAGCTTGTGATTTTAGGCTATATCGAGGCAATGCGCACATGATGCACATATACCAACAGGAGACTGATCAATTGCAGTTTTAAATAGCAATGGAAAGATACAAGTAAAACAACACCAAGTAATATTTCATAGGTTTATATTTTTTTCGACCATTGGTTTCAATTATTAGCTTACTAAGCTGTTCATAATAGTCTGCGTACAAAGTCAGAATAAAATTGAAGTAGATGAGGATTTATCATATTATGCAAATTGTTTACTGATCTGGGAACAATCTGAATCTTGTTCAAACTCGAAACCAATACTAATAATCAAAGTGCTATTTAGATTTAAGTAGTACTAACATCTAGTTATTTGATGACAACCTAATAAGTGAAATGACTGAAACGACTTTAAATTGTTATTGGTCACACAATATTGTCAAACAATTTAAGTTTAGAAATGAACATTAATGGACGGAAACACAATGACTAAAAATAGTACTGTTTCTGATGTAATTTCCTATTAGTTAAATGGTATATATTTATATTGAGGAACCTCAATAAGGGACGAAACAACTTTTCAATAATTCTCTAGGTTTTGTTAAATCCAGTTGAAAATTTTATTCATAATAAGAATAGAATGTCTATTATTTTCATCTTAAATGGTTTTCATTTCTTGTTCATGAGTGAACTTTGTTAAAATAAAATTATGTTTTATAAAAACCGTAAAGTATTTAACATAAGTTTAACCAGATACACTAGTCACATATATATATTTATACACCTGTCAATTACCCGAAATGAAATAAGAGAACAATCTATTATTAAGTGGACAATTCTATGAAAAAGAATTTCTATTTTATTGTAGTTTTTTCTGTACATGTGTTTCGTTTGTATAATTTAGACAAGAAAGAAATGGAGTGAATCTAATAATATGTCAACCATACCTTGTTTCTAACCTAATCTTGTATGAAAATATTTCATAGTTAAATGAGGGGGATATATCTTAAATAACTTTGAATAACAAAATGTTTAGTCAATAGTCAGTCAATCGGTTTATTATTTGACTAAGGTGATCAACATTCATCAGTGAAACTAGTATTAGTATAAATGATGTATATATGTAGGTAATCTTACCTCTATCTACTGTCCTCTCCACCCACTCAACATTCAAAATGAGTGATTATGGAAATATGATTCAAACAACCTATGATTATTTCTCAAAACAGAAAAACAATATTTCACAATTCATTATTGGATACAAGAAAATAAGGCCAAGTTACGAAAGCATATTTTCTACTAAGATAATTATTATTCATTTCTTCTTAGTGAATACATGTAAAGTGATAAAAATTGTAGCTGTTGTCAAGTTAAATTAACTTGAAAACTAACTAGTTCTATGTTTTTTTTAAAAATAAAAATGAAAAAAAAGACAATATACAGCTGTTCTTGCTGTACTCCATACACAGATACCGTTAATAATTTCAACTAATAACATTCCATTATGTCACTATGAGATGTAAAACGAATATTTAGTGACTACTAGAAAAATGAAAAAAATGAAAACAAATTATGAATATTTTTATAGTATAAAGTACAATTTATTCAGTAAATAGATTGTATTATTAATATTTTATGCAAATCACTGATAAAATATGAGTAAATTATCAATAGAACGCATATATATTCAAAGGAAAGGGATTAGTACATTCTAGAAGAAAGAAAAACGGAATCTAAATAAAAAATAGTCTTGATTAAGTTATAGTCATTCCGAAATGAGATAATTAACTATTTAACTGATTAAAATAATTTAATAGTCGAATTCATGAGTCTGTTGAAGTTAGACCACCATAGAAAATCAGGAAGCACTGGACGGCCGTTTCGTCCCGGTATGGGACTCCTCAGTAATGCTCACCAACGATCCTACCCTACGAGATTCTTACGCAGAACTTATCAGTCATGTGCGCGAACGCTTAAACTCTGAATTACTGAGCCGACATCTAACGGTGTTAATTTCTAAGTTCAATCGATCCACGAGGAATATAAGTTGGAAAAGCTGATCATGATCTAGATATGGATAAAAAAATAAATTATATGATTTTATAAATACACTAGAGTTCAACTCAAGGTGATTCCTCGTAAATGTATTGATTTATATTTATTTAAGTGTTTTAAACTGATTCAAGGATGATTTTAGTCACTAAGCTACATGAACTACCGTATCAATATAAACTAACTGCTCTGTACTCTTGTTTTTCAATGCTATCATTTTGCAGTTGATATCAGTTCATAACGAAAACCGAAATCGAAAGATGCAGAAATCCTTAATAAGTGGTAATTATATGCTTAATAATCAATGATTTTGAAGTAGATCCCAGTGGTTTTTTCTAAGATGTTACAACTAATGGAGAAAAGATAGAAGTGAGAGATGAAGTTACTGAAAACAATCCATGAAGATCACATTATATAAAAAAGTTCAAGTTCACTATGTGAATTAATGAACGACAACTCAGTAGTCTAAAAGTGTCTTATTTACCGTTTGAAATAATTCTTGGATTTGATTCATTTTAGTGGACTGTAAGGGGTCATAAATTAAGATAAAATACTAATCCGGTCTCCCCTTTTTCAGTAGTTCTTTATCTATTATCCTTCCGTGATAAATATTTATTTTGATATTATTTTATACACAGCATAAAATAACATTTGACTGAATAACTGTTTACGATAAAAATAAATGGATTGTGGCTAGCAGTATAATCCAGGTAACGAGTTTTGGCCTATTTGATTCATATCAACTGAATGTACTTGTACTTCAGTGTTAATGTTCACACTGAAACTCGAATCCAGTATTTTTCGCTGAAAACACCAATGCACTGTCCGCTGATCTCAGTAAGAAATACAAACCCTTACAAGTAAAATTCGTATCCGTTTCACAAGCTAGTGGCTTTTTGAACTCAGCAACTGCATACGAAATAAGAGATATACAATTTTTGAAGATAAGTCAAAAAGTGAGTCGATTTTAATGCGAAAGCATTTTTATGAATTATCATTAATAACCTACTTCTAAATTCTAAACTGACCAGATTCCATAAGTAGTATCTTATGCATCTTTACATGTCATATATCTTATCAACAGTTTATCATGGTAACTTATCTTGTTTCCAATAGTCTCAAATTATACAATAATACCTATCGGTTAGTTTATCCATTTTCATTTCATTGGATCAACTTTAGAACTTTAAATACTATCTTAAGATTTAAGAACTAAAGATATCCGTTTAATTGATATGGAATCTTGTGCTCATTTAAAATTTTCAACATTTCTGTTTATAATATTTAATAAAGGATAAGATAGTAGTCACAGTGAAATAATAACCTATATTCAATTAATTTCAATAATGAAATGATTTCTAACTTTATCAGAAATGGAGAATTATTCTATAAATACCTAAGAAAAGAATAACATTCAAATAAGACTGGATTATGAATTAGTAAAACAGTTGATTACTTAGGCATAATAACTCATGAATAGTTGATTCATTGTATCATGAGGTAGTGATATCAACAATATTTACCTTGATCATCAATTAAAGAACAAATATATAGCATTTAGATGATTAGTAAAACTACAAGTATATATCCTATTTGTAGATGGTTTAGTAATGGATCAACATCAGTTGAAGTACCAATGTAAACTAGGGGAGATTATGTAGCTGTTTTGTCCTTGTATAGTGCTTACTCAGGAGTGAACATCAACAACCCCGTTAGAGATAGGACTCAGGATCTCTAGGCTTTGTTGTGAACGCATAACTTTTGTGATTGATCTATATTTCCAGATCCAAGCAACTCATATTGTCGCTTGACTACCATTCTGTGCTATTAAGGATAACAGTTTCATTAGAGAAATGACTGTGCTTCTCATTGGAACTTCAGGACTAATCTCACATGATTTTTATTGCTAATTCAACTGATGACAATCTTTAACGGGGAACATCCACTGATTGAACTAAAATCCACAAAGCTTCTTATTACCAATTTATTTTATTTTCTTTCATGTTATTTATGGTTGTACATTGGGAACTTAAATTTTCGTACATGTATTACACCGGTTTTGTTTGCAGCAATAGTTTCACACTTTTTTTCTTCAGATGTACATTAAATAGTTATTCTCCATTCATTTTGTAAAATAGAACGAAATTAAACAATGATGAGTCATTTGAGTATCAAGGCCTAACATTCGAACATTCTCACGATTTTTAGTTGGATACATAATAAATAAAAAAACTATCTGTAAGATAAGGTAATTTGGTAACAGAAGCAAGTTAACGACAAAAGACACCAATAATTATAATAACAGTTATTTTTTGGCAAACATGACAGAAGCTAGTTACCTTAAAGTACACATCAGTTAGTAAGTATTACTGCACTTAAATATTTGCATAAAATACCACCTAATCAAACAGGACACATGTGATTTATTCGTTATCATTTATACAACATAGGCTAACTCACTTGTAGTCTGGTGATTAAAGTTCAAACAGGACTACTTGAACTAGAAACCAAACTCTCATTTTAATACAGTTATATGAGCCTAGCAACAGATTATTCACTCTAATATCACAAGCTTATAGGGGCGTGAATTTGCGATGAATACAAACTGGTCTTTAATAATATGTGTGCGCTATTGCCACCTACGCACTTTAGTTAACTCAATACTCACCTTATCTATGCTTTAGTTAAATAGTAACATTAACAGTCAATCGATAAATGTTGGCCAAATACGATGTATTTATCATAGATTAAAAAGGCTTGAACTCCAATCTGTGAATACTCAGTTTCACTGAGACGTTAAAATCTCTCGTCCTGGATTTATTTGTTATATGTAGCTAAGTTACAATAACACTAACTGAAGTGTACTGCATATTTGATCGATTTAGCTATATGACTAAGAGACGTGCCGGTTGATTAAGGTATATAAACGAGCAAGCTAGGAAATTCGTTTATGAAACTTTTCAGGTAAATATTAATATCAATAATTTCATACATGTCGAATTTCCAGCTAAACAGCAAACTTGACTTTTTCCTCATAAAGATCATCAGTTTTTAACCTTGCGGCAAGGATTCAACCTGTAAACAAAATACACGATGGAGTCTATAGCAGTAAAAAATTATCCGTTTTCTACATATTGGATAACATAACTGAATTGGTTTATTTAATTATTTAATTTTCTAAAGGTACCAAATCCTGTCATATGGTTTTATTAAATTCATCGAGGAATGAGAGGAAATGTACGGATTGCAAATATTACAGAATTATGTTTGTCTTACATTTTTCATATGGTCAATGTGACCTTGAAAGACATAGAAATGTTCACAAAATTTTGTTTGTTTGAAATTTTTCGTGATATTAAAAAAATGTACGAATGACTACTGATTGAAAAGAACACCCCTGTATTTATTCTGATTCCTGTGTTTTATATGGTGAAATGTATCATTTCTGTACTACTCTAAAATCAAATATAATAGTAGTAAAGGGCATGTACAATATATATTGTCTTAAAATTTAGGTCAATAGGTTTGAGATTTATCTAATAACCTAAACGTCATAAAATTTCAGAGAAACGTCATAATGTCGAAATGTGATAAAAAATTGAAACATGATTAATGCATTACTTACCTTAAGTATTGAGATCAAGGAAACTGTTGGAATTGTAAGATTATGTATACATGTGATGATGAGTTCAATTATACGATGAATTTTTTTCTAGCTTATCCATATCATGTGGTTAAAATATGCAATTATTTATCATATTTATTAACCCTGGTAGAGAAATGATAACTTACTTAAATTGTAAAGCGATATTTCGAGATAAAATGAAGGGATTTATCTGTGATAAATAATGGTCTTCCAGTAGTCACTGAATTCATGTTCACTTTCTCCATCTGAATATATATATATATATATATATATAGTTGAAATCATAAGCCAGTTCAAGCTAGAAAACCATGGAAAACCCAGAAGCACTGAACGGCTGTTTCGTTCTATTATGGGACTCCTCAGCAGTGCGCATCCACGATCCCGACCCTCACGAGAATCGAACCCAGGACCTATCAGTCTCGCGAGTCACCGCTTAACCATTAGACTATTGAGCCGGCATCCAATGGTGTTAATGTCTAACTTTAACTAATCTAGCTTCAATTGACTCATGATTTCAATTACTAAAATTTCTACAAAACCCCTTCTGATATATATATATATTAGTAGCTGGATTTTTTATAATTTATGTAATATTCTATGAGATTTTATAGCATGGAAGGTGATTAGCAAGATAATAAAGTAGAAGAGGGCTCAACACATATAATCAACTGAAGTCAATTACCGTTTCTATTGCCGAGTTCAGTGTTTTCTAAGTTTTTTAATTACTTTTATTAGTTAAATAAAAATTGATATCTGTACGAACTAATGGTATTTTTGGAATGCGAAATGATTTATCATTCTGATCTATGATCAATTTATTTTCTAACTAGAATTGATTAAGACTGTTCATAATCACTCGGCTTAATATTTATTTAAAATAACACAACACAGGACTAGACAAGCAAGACATTGATCACCACCCAGTGATCAATCAATTGTAATTACATCTCAGTCCTACAGGAGGTTAGTCACGGTTCGGATAGCTCAGTGGTAACGTCTCTGACTGTGAAGCTGGGTGACACGAGATCGAATCCGCCAGGGAGCACCAGTTCCCTCAAGATTACAGGTACACCTTGCTGACGAGTGCCAAGTAGCACGAAACCCGGGTCCAGGGTTTCCTGTTGACTACCTCCAACCACCATCTAAATCTCAATACATAGTGCCCGCAGTGTTGAGTCACCTAGACTGGTGGCCACATTGCAACATGATCGATAGCATTCGATCTGCACTAATAAGGACTAGACAAGCATGACATTGATCACCACCCAGTGATCAATCAACTGTAACAACACAGGAAGTAGTTGTAGCTTCAGGGCTTTACTATAGATAAAAGTGAACTATTTTAATTCATACAGATGTTTGCTTTCCATAATTTGCTTGTACTATTATAAGGAGACTGGAAAACTCATTTATTCCAAGGGGAGGATATTATTTAGGAGAACGCAGCCTTGGATGGGATTGAAAGATTTCGTTTATGATAAACAATTGGTTCAATAATATACTCATGAATAAATTATCAGAACTTTCGCGGTAATGTTAGGATCTACGATAACCGTAAGTAAGTAATACTGAACAGTGACCAAATTTGGTGGTAGACATGTATTTTAAAGGTCTGATGACCATTCTGATGAATTTAGAGTTTCAGGCATTCAGACAAAGGAGTTTCCATTCACTTGACCTTAATCCATCTCTTAAACCGGATGTTTTTGTGATTAATTTCTATATTTTGCTCAACCAATAACCTGACGTTAGAATAACGACATTACACATAGTGTTAGTCATTTGCTACTTTGTTTTTTGTAGGGATTACATTTCTTATTTTACTCTAATGATTAGTCAAAAATTCGTGTTATTAAGTAGATTAATTATCCACTCCACTTTGTCTCCATGGCACGGCCATGTTCTGAAGGCCACCCGATTTCACTACCTAACGAGTGGGGTATAAATACTAACCTAACTTTCCAGCATAACCTGTCGTCAAGTAACATACTTATTTCATTAACCTGGTAAAGTAAACATATTTTATACATTCTTTTAATAAAGTTATCCGTTTTTACAATATGCGGAGGCGAGAATCGTAAACTTAATTCTTTCAGGGAATATATGTACAATTTATTCTGAGTGTATTTTACTGTATAGCTTACTGCTGATACAACATATATTTTATATATTTACCAGAAATAGGTGTCTGCAGAAGCTTCATTCATAAGAGTAAGTGGTGAAGTACAACTATAATCCATAGTCACTGACCTTGTTAAAGTCCATAATAATGCTAATGTCACTCAAGACAGAAGAGAATATGTAAGAACTAAATATCTGTCGAATTGTAAGACAGAATTGTATTTCCTGTTAGTTTCATCCAACATTACCGACTGAATTTATGGTGCCCTTTGTTCGAAGCTTGTGTTTTCATAACTAGAAAATAACCATGATGTGTCTTATAAAAGCTTTAATCAGAAAATATTGATATTGATACATCCAGACTATTGAGTTTTGTAGTGTAAAAGTTAATGTCCAGAAGGGTTTATTGTGTTCTTAAATAGCTTTAGCATCGCATTGGTTATGATGTTATTATCCATAGTCATATCACAATAATCTTTGACAATGGAAATAATTTTTACAAAGTCAATTACTTAATTGATTCCGTTAAGAGTAAGCTTAACGAACTGTGCCGACATACTTTCATTTTCTCCGTTAAATAAACTCTGTTTTTGAAAGTGTGATTCTATTTTCGATTCTTAAGATTTATGTTAACGGCCCGTGCGTGCGAAATTAACTTACAAATACTGTAAGAAAAAATTAATAGTAGATTTACATTCTGTTAGATGGGATAGTTATTTTGAGTGATTATGGACAACTGAACTACTGACAAAGTTTTCAGTAGGCAAAATAATTTCGCTTCATTTTCAAATTATGGTTTTCCTATTTATAGAGGTTTTATAACGAGACAATCTTGGACTGATTGATACTAAATAGGAAAAGAAATGGTTATATAGAAAATGGATGACTTATCTATTTCTCAGAGACAAAATTAATATGCATTGGATAACAAAATGGTTGTCTACATATGGCTTAAGAAATAAGTAAAACTCTGAACGTCAGTCGGGATATTAAAGAAATTAGTAGCTAATACTTGAGATGTAGATAGAATAAAAAGCGAAGTTCGTCTGATTGAAATTGGTAAACACTAAGTAAACACATGCATTTATTTCCTCGTCTTTCTTTCTAAAGTAACTTTTGGGGATTCATAATCAAAAATGAATGTGATTAGCAAATGTAATGAAGCAAATGTATGGATATTAAAATTCCAGTTTTATGTCTCTGGTAAAACGAATAATAATTTCTGATGTCATATATATTGTGTATAGTACTCTATCATGAGACTCCCTACTGATATGCATTACTCTTCTTTAACAAATATAAAACTAGAAACTAATGGATTAGAATATATGGAGTTTTGTAGGCAATTACATCTGGATGAATCATTCAATTACAAGTAATTATTGATCAAAATTATTGAGACTGTACAATTTGATCAAAAACATAACAACTCTATTACAATCTAGTTGTTTCTCCATTCTGAGGATAAAAAGTTTTTTTAACTTATTAACAAACAGTTTATTCACTGGGTATTTTTAATCTTATTTAAATTTTATGGATCATATTTTTACTGGAATTATTTTCTGATATTTCCAAAAATGAGAGAAAGAGCACATTTTTAATTGTTTACTTTTGTCAAAATATAAAGATGGTTCATTGTGTGTGTGTGTACGTGAAATGGAAATAAGAGAATCTTACTCATATTTTAGACTGATTTATCGTCCAACATTTATGAATGTTGTGCTTTGTCATTGGTGATGATCGAATTCTATCGATCAAAATGAAAGTTTACCAATAGTCTAAGTAATTCAACATCAGATGGAGTCAGAAAGAAGTG